CACCCCTTTGCAGGGGGTGCTGCAGCAGGCTCTGCAGCCCAGACGGCAGCCCCCCCAGGCAGGGGTCCACGGGTGTGCCAGGGACAGCGCTGGGGCCAGGAGACATGTGTGCGGGCCTCGGGACAGAGAACGGGGACAAGAGCCTCTCTAGACAGCAGAGCCAGAGCAGCCAAGGAAGTCTGGCGGATGGGCACGCAGCAGGGCGGACGAAAGAGGCCCTGAGAGCGATGGGTCCCTAACACTCATGTGTAGCCACCTGAGAAGTGTGTTTAAATACAGGTCCCTGGCTCTTGTGCCCCAAGACTCTGATTCAGAAAGCTGGGGTATGGCCCAGGCATGTGCATTTTGACAAGGTCCCCAGGCAGGGTCCCCTGGAAGAGTAGTCCAAGGCTGCGCTGTGGAGACCCACCCTCAGTGGGACAACAAGGCCACTTAAACGAGCCATAGGATGGGCTGGGGACCCGGGCCTGCTTGTCGTCACCTCCGCACTTCCCGGCCCACGTCCTCACACACTGAGATGTGTCCCTTCAACAGAGATCCGCCCTGCTGTCCACTCCCAAGTCTCTCCAATTCCTACAGCGGTTTCGTCCTATGTGACCACACACATAGCTCCACAGACCTCGTGGGCCCCACCTGCAAGATGCTGACAGCCACCCACCCTTCAGACCTGCTGCATCCGTCACCAAGCCTAGCTAGTGAACAAGTCAGTCCCTCAGCTCAAGTAGAAACTCCCGACCCATGGTTTGGGGAAGGAGATCCTGGACGGCCAGAAGTTGACTTAACCTCTCAGGGGACGGGCCTCCTTTTCAATAGCCTGCCTTCTGGGGCCAACCCTGCCATCTTTAGGCAGCAGCGCTGGCTTTTCTGTCCAAAGCCACCGGCCTTGGTTCACTTCAGCCTGCAGCTGCTGTGCACTTCTCCCTCGCCCCCTCTGCTCACCTCAGTTATAAACAGGATGCATTCCAGAAACATGTAGTCCTTGTGGTTCTCGTTCACGGCCTTCTCGTCGACGAAGTGTCTGGGCTCCAGATACGGGTGATCTGGGAACGACAGAGAGCGCCGGGGTTCAGAACCAGGCGCTCGTGCCACCGGGGCACCTCGGCCCACACAGTGCACACCCACCCCTGGGCCGCAGTCCTGCCCACATGCCGTGAACACTGGACCTCGAAGGAGCAATAAACGGCCTTGCACGTGTGTGTAATGTAGTGTAATAAGCTCTGGCTCTGCTTCTTTCTAGCCATGTGACTCGGTCGCCTCATCTGTGCAGTGGGAATAAGGACAGTACCTCCCTAGCAGGGCTGCTGAGTGCCACCTGGCGATCACGAGCACAGAAGAGTACTCAGCATGCTGCCTGCACAGGTGTGAGTTCAGGGTGGCTGATCTTATGCTGACAAAGACCTTCCGAGAGTCACTGCGAAGGTAACGTACCTGGGAGCACTTAGGGCAGTGCCTGAACCACACTCACCAAACGGTCATTTGTTAGCATTATTTTGTAGGCAGGTAATCAATCCCATGTCAAAAGAGGAGTTACCGCCGCACCCTCAGGCATTCATCCTGCCCATGGGAAGTGGGGGAACCACCAGAGCGGTCCATAACAAGCAGCCCACTGCCCAGCACTTGGTGGCAGCTCCCTGATGGGCTCCATGCACACGGCTCGGTAATGATGGCGGAGGAGTTGGTCGCCGAGTCAAAAGAGCCCCCAATTTTTAACATAAAACCCCGCAGCTGCTGCCAGGAGCTGGGGCGCACTTCACACCAGGCCATGTGCACCCGGCAAGGGCCCTTGCTCCAGCCCATGTCACCTTCCATTATCTCGGCGGAGCTCTGCCTCCACCGCCCCCCGCTGGCCACGCTGGTGCACAGCAGAAGGTCGGCAGCAGGCGGCCTCCATCAATAGCCAGCCTAATGCCTGCTTCACAAGTTGTCACTGTCTGGGCAGGAGGAGGGCCTCAGGACAGGACACAAAACACGCTCTGGAGGGTGGGGGGGTACACAGCCCCCTTCGGTACCTATCAGCTGTGAACTGCCCCATATGAAGGGCAGAAACTGGAAGTCATCCAGGCCCCACACGCCCTGGCTGCCTGCCGGCTCCATCCTGTATGTTTTCTGGAGCTTCCGCATCACTTCAAGGTACCTGCACAGGAGGGTGGGGAAGAGAAGGGAGGAAGGAAAGAAGAAATCAGGCTCGACCCTTCGGCCGCCGGGAGCACAAGGAGGCTGGAGACCACCACTCAGAGCGGACTGGCCTGCCTCAGCGAAAACCTACGCGCACCAGCTCTGATCGGCTGGCACTCTCAGAATAACGTAGCTTGATTTTTTTTCTTCCACACTCAGCCTTCTTTTGGCTCAGGAAAGGGGTATAACACCACGTGGGAAAGTGGGTTCGTGCCACCAACTCCTGACGACATAAGACCCGTGGCAGGAGCCTCAGCTTCCTAACTCCGGCTCTGCCCATCGGAAAGTCGGTAGGAGTTGAAGCAGCTCGTCTCCTACATCCTTTCAGGGTCAAGCTCCGCTGTTGTCACTGGGCGGCTGCATCCGAGTCACCGTGGAGCTCCAGCGCAGGCGTCGCTGGAGCGGGGCGTGGAACGGGCACTGTCAGCGCTCTCTGGTGACCAAAACGCCCGTGCTGCCAGGGAGGTGGTTTGGGCAGCGAGGTGACCGCCTGGGTTCACCTGGCTGTGTGACCTCAGTGGACAGCTCTCGGTTTTCTGTGCCTCACTTTCCTCATCCATAAAATGGAAAAGACGGCTGCTACTTCCTGGGGCTGTTGTGAGAATTACAGGCCTGCGCTGCTTAATGACGGGGGTACGTCCTGAGAAACGTGTCGCTAGGCGATTTCGTCATCGTGCGACCATCACGGAGTGCACTCGCACACACCTACGTGCCGCAGCCCAATGAACGTGTTGTGTGTCAGGCACTTAGCACGTGCCTCCACGTGGTGAACACCATGGGAGCCATGACTGTCACCGTGTAACATTTCCTTCCCCTGTTTTCACTTGAATTTGAACCTGTTGGAAGATGTGAGTCTGGACATCCCATCCACAGCCAGAGCCTGATTAGGACAGGACCAGAGAACCGACGGCCACTCGGGAGAACGCTCCAGCACACCGTCCCCAGTCTGACAGTGACAGGGAACGAGACGCCCTCGCTCCTCCTCTCACGGGCAGCCACCCTCCTGCCCTCCTCGCACTCACCGGTTAAACACCGTGAAGACAATGGCTATTTGGTCGTCCACCCGGAGCACCCCAATCTTGCAGAGACAACAGAGGAAAGCAGCAAAGGCTGCTTCGTGTCCTGGGGAGTAAAAATAGCCGAGGTTGAGTCTTCCAGAAGGAGTGGGATTGTTCTTGGTCTCGCTAGTGTCCGAATCACTGATAACTGCCCCTCTAAGAAGGGAGACCAACATGGAGACAATGAGGCCTCTTCCCTATCTAGAAAGATCTAGGCCCTTTTAAGAACTAATAGTACAAGAATTCTAATCCTAAAAGGCCTATAGCAGTGCCACCCTGAACAAGCCCGATCTCGTCTGATCTCAGAAGCTAAGCAGGGTTGGGCCTGGTTAGTACTTGGATGGGAGACCACCTAGGAAGACCAGGTGCTGTAGCAGTAAAAAATAAAAAATAAAAGATTGTAAACTGACAAGGTCCCTGCAATCTGTGAGGTCAACCAAGGATTGCCTCGCCTAAAAAATAAAAAAATAAATAACCCTAATAGGCCTAGGCTGTTGACTTCTTAAACGGGCACTTACACTTTATTTTGCAGGTTTGACTCGCTCACCGAGTCCACTCTATTTATTGAGCACCTATTAAGTCAGGCACTAAGGAGACAGTCCCTGCCTTGTTTTATAGTTACGACAGACACTAAATATTCAATCACCTGTATGATTCTAGCTCTAAAGGAGAAGGTAGGGTGATAATTGCAGGGTATCACAGGGGAAGGGTGACATAAAGATTCGAGGTTTCCCTAAGGGAGTAATATTCACGTGAAAGATGAATAAGAATTGGCAAGGCGTGGGGAAAGCAAAAAGAGCATTCTAGCCAGAAGAAACAGCATGTGCGAAGGCCCTGAGGCAAGAAAAAAATTTTGATATGTTTCAAGAACTCTTAGAAGGCCAGTATGGCTAAAGCAGAGAGCAAGGGAGAGGTAAGATGAGGCTGCAGATCAGACAGGCCTTAACAGCCACAGTAAAAAGCTCAGGCTTTATCCTAAGAACAATGGGGAGCCCCTGAAGGCTTTAAGCAGGTCACATTCTAAGCATGGTCCCATTGCAGGGTTAAAAGGCACGCCCCTTTCCTTTCCCACTTATGTCAGATAGGCGTGGTCGACACTACAGAAACCACTGGACTCTGGGCTGAATCCATGTCACAGAAAACGCAGTTGGAGGGAGGAGAGAGAATGTTTCAATGACTTCCTGTCCTATTTCTGCAAAATGAAGGCCCTTGCAAGGGCCTGGAAACTTGCGAACTGTTACTGTCACCTGCACAGTTTCTGACCATGACCAGCCAGAGCCGAGCCACCATTATCCAGGGGCAACCATCACTCTTGCACACCTGAGAGCACCTAGAGTGCAAGAAGAATCCACTCCCCCCGCAGACCTGGCCACTCTCCCCTCCCGTGTCTTTCTCTGTCAGTCTTAGTGAAAGCTTTACCCCGAAAGTCTCAAAATACTTGATAAACCCGTTCCCTAGCAACAGAAGGAGCCGACACAAAACTTTCCCAGGACCCAAGTCCAAGGGCGCCCTTCTCCAGGCCTGCCTCTGTAACCTGGGCTCCTCGTGAGGATCCCAAGCCCCAAACCCCAAGCAAGGGGAGGGCCCGAGAGAATGGAGCGCTTGCATTTGCCTGCATCAGGGTAGAAAAGAAAGGAAACGCAGGTCTGCGGAAGCAGGGAGCCTGCTGGGCCACTGACCACGGTCCCATGCCCCCTGTTGGGTGTGCGCATGCTCCCTCTCCTGGAGAACTCGAGAACACAGGGAATGTGGCTGAGAGCAAGGGCCGTAGGGAGAGGGTGGCCACCGTGTTGCCAGAGGCTACGGGCTCTTTCGTCTCTCAAGGCTTCTGTAAGTGCTGCTCTGAGGTGCAGTAAGCGCTCAGTAAATCACCGTCTTGGTGATGATGATGATCTCACAGAGAGACCATCTTTGCAAAGAACAGGCATCAGCTCTGCACACACAGGAGCATGCGTGTGGCATCAGCTCCCCCTGGTGGACCGAGCCAGGGCCGCAGGAGAAGCACCGGGCCTGGCACCCAAGAGCGCTGCACCCCAGCTGGCCCGGACAGGCTGCCTGCTCAGGGATCCCCCAGACAACCGGAGCAAAAAGGAAGCAGCCCAAGAAGAGAAGGCAGTGAAGCCAAATAAGTGCCAGGAACGGCAGGTACCTGTGCCATAGTCGATGCGCGTGGAGTTCCCCACTGACTCCTTTAGGTAAACAGCCACCTCAGGCACAGCAGCTGCCAGATGGGTGGGGACCACTGTGGCCACCAAATTTTCTGCTTCCTGATAACAAAAGAGACACAAAGTGGTGGCAGCAGATTAGGCAGCATCCAGGTAGGCAAGCGCCCAGGCTGCCACGCCGGGCGGCCTGGCTCCCAGCTCTGACCAGCCGCAGAAGCAAGACGAGGGAGAGCAT